GAATAGAATAGAATAGAATAGAATAGAATAGAATAGAATAGAATAGATATTGGAATGAAGAAGAGAAGAGAAGAGGAATATAGAATGGAATGGAGTGGAATAGAACAGAATATTGGAATATAGAATGGAATGAGAAAGAAGAGGAAAGAAGAGAAGAAGAATATAGAATAGAGGAGAAGAGGAGGAATATAGAAGAGAAGAGAATAGAGAAGAATACAAGAATAAAATAACTTTCTTGTGACTTTGAACGTACAGTAATCGGCATACATTAAAATGATATTTTGTTGCACACAGATTAATAATAATAACAAAGCATTTCAGACTGACGGTTATCCAATCAAATGAAAAGTGGTCCTAATTTTCCTCCCTCTCTGGTGGATCTTCCCCCAGCTACGCCATGCCCACGAAGACTACAGAGCTGGTGTTGACCGGGGAACACGGCAGCAAAGTGCGTGTGGACGGCCACCTTACGAGCCACCAGCGTGTCGTCCAGGTAGGTTGCCTTTCCAGTTTTATTTTCCAAAATGCAGGCAGTCCTCGACTTATGCCCAAAACGGAGCCCCAAATTCCTGTCACTAAGTGAGACAGTCATTAAGTGAGTCTTGATTCGTTTTGTGATTTTTAATAATAATAATAATAACCACCTTTATAGTTGTTGTACATGTATACAACGAAATCGATTTCGCCTCTGCTGATGCCATCCATAACAAAATGCAACGCAACAGGAATAACGTAGAAAATAGTCCCTTATACAAGGAATTTCTTGCCAGAGCTCTCAAGGGAATCACTGTTGTTTTAGTGAGGAACACGGTCGTTAAGCGAATCTGGCTTCCCTCCCGTCAACTTTGCTTGTCAGAAGGTCGCAAAAGTGCATCATGTAACACCAGACACAGCGACCGTCATAAATGTGAACCAGCTGCCAAACGTCCAGATTTTTGATCATGTGATTGTGTGGATGTAGCAGCGGTTAAAAAAAATGGTGGAAACTCACTTTTTCAGCATTGTCATAACATTGGTCACTAAATGAACTACCTGTAAGTACGACGGCAGGATGGCAGTCAGTGGTTCTGCGACTATTTCCTGGAAATCTTCTGAATGATAGCTGTTCTGACCAAGGCTTCCTGAGGCCATAACCCTAACCCTAAGCACACGTTTAGTCCAAACAATTCTTGTTTTATTTCAACGTTGGGAATTATGTGCATCCCCAGCCCGTAGTGAGTCCCAAATAGTTCCCCGAGATAAGCACCCACCTTTCTCTCCTTTGAAGTGCTCACAACAACTAGAGTGCTAAATGAATTATAAAAAAAACCAACCAAAGTACAAAATCCATACAGAGCTACAGGATTAATCCGAACAGAGTGAACGACTTTGCTTTGGCAGTTCAAATTTCACCAGCTCAAAGTCCACTCAGCCTTCCATCCTTCCGAGGTGGGTAAAATGAGGACCCCGATTGTTGGGAGGACAAGAGGCTGACTCTGTAAACCACTTAGAGAGTGCTGGAAAGCATTGAAAAGCAGTATATAAGTCTAAGTGCTATTGTTAAATACCTGTGCCCCATAAGTGAAAAACAGCAATGCTTGATCCTTGCTTTTTTCGCATCTTTACAGGTGGTCCTCGCTTAATGACTAAAATTAGTGATGGGTTGAAGCTAAGGCCAAAAGGTATTTGTGGCCTGATTTCAAAGTTCTAGGGACCTTCCTTTTTCTCCGTTTCTAATATAAAATACAAAATCACAGAAGAAAAAGAGTAGGAAAATAAGGCGGAAGGGAAAAGTTGTAGGGAAAAGAGGAAAAGAAATAAATAAAAATATCGATAGCTGTTAAGCAAGTCGCCTCCGACTTATATGACTTTTTTGCTATTATTGTGAAGTGAATCCCGGCCGTTGTTAAGTGAAGCGCACGGTCGTGAAAGCGAATCTGATTTCCCCTCCATTGATTTTGCTCCTTGGAAGCGGACTAGGAAGATCCCCAAATGGCAATTAGGTGACTCCAAAACACGGCAACTGTCCAAAACTGCCAAGCGCCCCAATTTTTATCACGTGGCCATGAGGATATCGTCGTAAGTGTGAGGATTCATCACAAGTCACTTTTTCCCCAGGGCCGTTTTAACTTCCAATGGTCGCTTAACCAACGGTGGTAAGTCAAGGACTGTTTGTATCATTTTATTATTTTTATGACAATCTAGCAGGGGTTTCTTTAGGTTGCTTTTGGTACGCGTTATCCTTACAGATTTATAAATAGATAAATCAATAGATCACGGTAATACACCGGACGTTGGTAATTTGTTTTCCTTTTTCCTCTGGGAAAAATGCTGCTTCTCCATTCCTCCAGATTAAACAACTGACTGCCACGTTTAGTCCTATTTTCCTGGAAATTATTCAGAATAACCTGCCCGAGGGAGTCCATCTATTAGTGAAAGAGGTATGTAGGTTCTTACTGAAATATTTAAATTGAGAATAAAATAATGAAAACCGTCAATAAATTTAACTGTAATAACTTAAAAAAAAGGAGGATGACAATGACAACTCTGGAGTCCTTGGTGCTCTCTGAGCTGGGTGGTTTTCTTGCAGATGTTTCATGACGCAACTAGGGAACATCATCAGTGCTAGAAGGGAGTGGGGTTTGTGGAGAGGAGGAAGGAAGGAAGGAAGGAAGGAAGGAAGGAAGGAAGGAAGGAAGGTGCTTTCTGAGCTGGGTGGTTTCCTTGCAGACATTTCATGACCCAACTAGGGAATATCATCAGTGCTAGAAGGGAGTAGGTCATAGAGAG